TATGACCGACCAACTTTTATAAAGTTGTTTTCTTTTTAAAAGAGATTCCTTTGCTTTTATAAAGCACTTTTTAGCTGTCCGAGCCAGCTGTCCTCAATAGGACTTTCTTTTCTTGTATAAATAAGAGAGGYCTGTCTCTCTTTAGAATCAGAGTTTTCTTAGGAGTGTTTACAGCTTTCATATTTCCTTCAAGTATTGTAATCAGTGTGCTTAAGAAATAAGAAGAACAAGCTACCGACAGTGCAGCTTGTGTAAGCTTTTGGTATTTTCTTATCTCTTCTTTTATTTCCAGAATATTCGCCGCCTTCATGGCTGGCTAAATTAGGACAATGAGTTAAAACATATTTTGATTTGATATTTCAATAGATTTACATGGAATGGTTTATATGTTTTGATTTARTAAAAATTCTTATAAACAGATGAGTTTTATCTCTGAGTTCTCTGTTGTTGATTCTAACAAATTTTCATCTTATATGATCTCTGTTAAGTTGCATAGTATTTGTGTGGCATTTTGGAAGTAGTAGCTTCTATTAACCTTTCTGAATAGACAAGCATTTATAAATTGATGATCTTGATTTGGGATTCCTGTTGAGAGGATTATGATTTATTCATCATAATATGAGAATATTAGTTTTGATTCATGTTGTATGTATGTGGTGCATGCAAATACTTGTGTTAAGACACATTCTAATTCCACTGACTGTTAGTACATCATTTTGAAGTTCATAAGAGTTTTTTCTCCATCTTTATGTTAGATGCCTGACTCCCTCGTAATCTCTCTGTTCCAGCTTTTAGTAAATACGAACGATTTATATGAACCCGTTTGTTGCATATTTGTAAAAGTTACGAAACTACCCCTCTATTGTATTGTTATTGAATGCCTACTTACATGATCATGACAATAATGTTTGTATGTTTGAGTGATTATTTCATGTTTAACGAAAATTAATTTACATTTTTAGACTAGTTTCTTACTTCTTTTTTCTCGACTAATACCGTTAAATTTATAACGAGTATAGCAAAACAAGACCCCATTGAATAGGCTTCGAATGCAAGTGGGTAATTAAATTGCTCAAATGCAAGTTTTTTTTTTTTTTTTTTACCATGGTATATATCAATGGATCAATCGAATGAGCCATTCTTATCTAGGGCTGTTAAGGGAACGCTTATTCGGGTAAGTGTTTGTCGACAAAATTCACTACTATCACTTACTTACCAGGTAAGATTTTGGTCCGTCAAAACGGTATCGTATGTAACAATTTACCCGGTAAACGTTAATTGTGGTAAAAGTTGTCGCTCTCACTTATCGGGTAAGACTCTAGGTCTTTGTCTTTGTTTTTACCGGATAAGATTTTTGGTCCTTACCATATTCATCTGGTAGGGTATTGTGACTTGGTACGCTTACTCGGCTAATCGTTTGGTAAATAGTCCCTTACACAAAAATAAGAATTTGTAGTAAATTTGTGTGGAGTGCTCGGATCATCATATGTTAAAACGATATAGCATACCCAAATTAAAAATTATTATTTCATTGTTTTCGAAAATTTGAATGTGTCAGCTTTGAGGTTATGTTTGGCAAACTAACTGATAAGCTAACTCGTAACCGAAAAATTAGCTGATGAACATATCATGTTTGGCAAAAACTAGTTGACAAACACATCATGTTTGACAAAAACTAGCTGACGAACACATCATGTTTGACAAAAAACTAGCTGATAAAAATGTAAAATGACGAAAAATGACATCTTGAAAAATTAATCAATTATAATATTTCAAAATATAATTAAAACAAATCTCTAATA